CTAATTCGCATGCTTATTCAAAAAATAAACCTAACCGCATGATATCTAGTTCGCAAGCATTTATTCGAAAAATGAAAATAAATGACTCAAAAAAAGCTTTTCCTTGTGTACCCTCCTCACGAGATTCTTAAGGTTCGGGTTTGGTTCAACCTAAGTTCAGGCTCTATGTTCACTATATGCCGGGTTAGGTTCTAAAGCAATAGGTTCTCGAATTGTCCTTGTCGGTGCCCCCTTGGGCTGCCGAACCCTCAATCCTGGCCCATCACAGGCTTTAGGGGATCGAGTTCAATTTCGAGGGAACACACCTCCTTATGTCCATGCGGAGGTGATTACCATCACGAGGACCATAAGGCGTGAGCTCCAGGAGCGATCCACTATCCCATGCGGAGGTGAAAACCACACGAGGGCATAGTCTCTCACTCCTACTTAAATAGGACAGAGCGGGGTTTTAGCTCATGTTATGATAATGCAACTGTGCAGTGTGTGAGGAAAAGCGAAAAACACAATAAAAACACTCAAAATTTCCTAAATTCACACAATTAATCTGAAATCATTAGCAAACAAATTAGTACAACTATTTAATTGTTAATCGAATTAAATTAAAGAAATCAAAATACAAACGAAACTTATTAGAAACCGAACAAGGGATCAAAAATCAAATTAAAACGAATTTGTGATTTTCAATTGCAAAAACAATTAATTAATCGACTATCGGCTTGACTCTCTAAAAAAATGTCCCCAGCGGAGTCGCCAAGCTGTCGAAACGATTTTTTTTTAAAAAGGTGAAAAAAGTGAGATTTTGAAAACCACATTAATTCTTAATTGTCTCTTTTTATTTAAAAAAACATATGCGATTTAAAAGACCTCTCGTTTCGAAAAAATTTGAATTTCCTTTACGATCGAAAAATACGGTTCGAAGAGTCGCCACCAATCTTTGATTAGGATGTGATTGGGCACCCAAAAATGCTTTGTTATTTTAAATAAAAATTAATTTTAATTAAAACAACAAATTGAGGTATGCGTTACCAAAATCCGAGTTCGGGAGTCGGTTACGTGTGGGGAAGGATTAGCACCCCCACAACGCCCTAAATCGGTACCTAGTCGATTAATTAACGTCTTTGCAATGAACTTTACAAATTCGAATTTATTTTGATTTTTGATCCCATAAAATAAAAATGTAAATTTAAAACATTCAAAAACACTCAAACAAATTAAATTAAAATTACCAAGTCATTTTAGAAATATAAAGAATGTTCGATTATTTACAAATATCGAGACCAGATCTTAAAGATATAACAACCTTTTCTCGATATATTTAAATAAACGAACATTTATTTTTCTCTCGTTCCCAAATTTTAGGTGACGAATCAATTTTTTGGTTTCACTTTCGGGATACACTTTTATTTTAAAATCATTAAAAGCGGACCTCAAATTAGTTATGACTGCCCACTTCAACAATTTTAAATTAAAAGGGTATTACCCTTAATCCAATTATGTGATATGTCGAGTTATGCAAATGAAGCTATCATGTGAATTATGCAAAAAGTATGTCATGCCAAAATTAATTAAACAAAATTAAAAAATAGCATACAATGTGATATACAAAAAAAAAATTATGTACATATGTTTTAATTAAAAATCATAAATTATGCATATTGACATATTATGAACACATGTGACCTAAATATAAAAACAAAATCATAACATGCTAAACTATAAATTTAAAAAGTGTATATATACGTGTTAAAATAAGGACTAAATTTAAATGTACGTAAAATCAAACATGTAAAATGGGAAATAAACTAGAGACTTAAACAAAAAGGCACATGAAAGGGTCTTATATACAATTCATCCTATTCATTTTAAATTAGGATAATATGTAAAATAACATAAATAGTACATGCATATTTGAAACGAAACAAGAAAATTAATACAAGAAAGGACTACTTTGTAAAAGAGAATATAAATTGTGAGGGCCTAAATTCTAATTTACCCAAAACTATTAATATTAAACCTAAGTAAACTGCTAAACTATTCTAATCTTCAAACAGAACATACCTAGCCGCACTCCTAATTTCCTTCTTCCCTTTCTTCGCACACTGCCGATCTCTTTCTCGGCCATGCATGGCGTCGCTCTCAACCACCATAGCTTCTAGCCGCCTAGCTTTTCAACTCCGGTGAAGCATAAATCTATTCTACATGGCACTATCGACAACCATAGAAGTAAAAAAAAAAACAAACCGACCCTATTTCCTCCATACCCATGAACGCCGCCATGATACCCAAAACCGAGTACTCTGATCGTCACCTTCGATTGTCGGATAATCCAAAAATGAATTTAAGCCGACCCTAAATTCTCTTATTCTCGCCATTTTAATACCTCCCGGACACTAAGACCCTGCGCACCCTCAATCTTGCCGACGAATTCGACAACAAACAACGATGCGTTGCGAGGTAAACTATTCAAACCCTTCTCTTCTTATTATTTTGGTTCAAATATGAGGAAGGAAACTTACTGGAAATACAAAGAAAAATGGTTGATAAATCTATTTACTATCCTTTGTACTCTATTCTCGTATGGGAGAAAAGACATTAAAAATAGGAATGGTTGCGTGTCTTGCTTTCTCTGAAAAACGAAGGAGAAGAAATTACAATGCTTTCCTTTTTTTAAAAAAATCGAGAAGCCTATTACAAGTTTCCACTCTCAACGAAGACTTGGGATCACTCCTCTCCGACGAAATTGAAGCAAAATAAGGTATAAAACTAACGATTTATTTATGTTTCTACTTCAAAACTTTCTTCTTTTATATCAAAATAGAACACATACTACACTGTAAATAAAAAATGAACTTAGAATAAATATACCTCGAGAAACTGCTATTGCCTTTGTGAATGAGTGATATTTACTTCTACTGGCAGAGTGAATAAAAAAATGCTTTCCTTTATTCCTTCTAAAATGGTGATCGAGAGACCTTTACAAAAGAAATTTTTTGATTTGTTCCCTTTCTCTGTTACAATGGTTATGTTTTCTCTCGTTCTTAATCCTCTCTTTTCTGTCCTCTCTTTCTGGTTCTTCTCCACGTGATGTATATAGTTTCTGATGGTTTCCAGTAGTTAAAAAAAACTGACTTCTCTTGATAATTACTTACTAACCCTTCTCATAACTGCCTTTGATTTCCATGTTGGGCTTCCAATTGGTTTGGGCACGGGCTAGATCCTTCAGGGCTCCAACTTAATCTACACTGTAACTCGTATTGGATCTAGAATTCGAACGGAGTCCCCGGACGAAACCGAACATCTACAGTCTACACAATCATGTATTGGTACATATCACTATCCAGTTGATATACTCTAATATTTCATTTCTTAAACTAAAAGAAAGATATATTCCTATTTTCCATTTGAAGTGTATCGGTACATTCCTTAATGTGTGTATCGATATACTACCTATGTATCGATACACAAATTACATTCGATGTTTTTCGTTACAAGGGGTGTATCGATACACTTCTTATGTATCGATGCACTTTGAATATTTTCTGCATTTTACTCTTGATGTATCAGTATATATTGAATGTGTACCGATACACACCATCCCAAAAATCAATTTTAAGCACGAAAATTCATTATTTTCAGCTTAATTGCTTCATATATCATCCCCTATCTTATTCTTAACTTACATACTCATGCTTAAACTCATTTATTCTCATTTATCACATCTTTAACCTCCAAATCATATATTCCATATGGAATTCAAGAATTATACCAAATTTTCTATATGTTCTAAATCCAATTCTATCAATCCAAATCTCTTAATTCAACTATTGACAAGTCAAATTCTACTTATCAACTCTTTTCCAAAATTTCATTTAAAAACTCCAAATCTTTAATCTCTCATAACTCTTTCATTCTTTGATTTTACCGTAACTTAAGCTTTCTTTAAGCTTGTGCATCATCTAAGGATCATAACACAACTTTAAATTTAGCAAATAATTAACCATCTGAAAAACTCACATTTGCTTGGAGCTTGAGCACACGAGAAAAAGAAGAAAACAAGAGGAAAATAAGCTTCTGGATATCTCTAAATCCCCACGTGTTATCTCCCTAAATAGGGAGATAAAAATATTCTCTAAGCTAAATTACCATACTACACTTATAATCATTTCATATTTACCCTTTAATCTAATTCTTAAATATTCTTATTTAAGTCCTTGAACTTTTAACTTGTTTCTAAATCGAACACAAAATTTTCAAAATTTACAATTTAGTCACTGACCCTGATTTGGGATATTATAATTGTTATATTTTATCTATGATAGTCAACGACTGTATTTATTCAGTTTGTAATCAACAAGACGTTTGTTGATACGACTTTCGATAAATGAAATATCCTGATTATTTTAAAAATATGTATATATATATATAAATAGTAAATCATATTTTTGTATATTAAAATCCATGTACAAACAAATTTCTTAAAACTCATTCATAACTCAATATACTTTTAAATTTCAAAAGTAAAAAAAAATCCCATGGCTTTTATGTTGCCGTCGGATTTGGGAGAAGAAAAATGTGGTGGGCCCTTGCTTTTATTTCATGAATGATGTTGTGATTTTCAAGGATCGCCCAGTTGACAATCCAAGTTGCTTTTATGTAATAGAGGTAATAGGGCAACTTTTATTATTTATTATTTTTGTTTATATCATACTTTCATATTAATTTAACTTTTGAATTTATTCAATTGTATTATTTTAAAATTTTATCATTAACTTAAAACTCTAAACTAAAATTTCACTAAACACTAATTTAGAATTTAGAATTTATAATTTTAAGTTAAAAAAACGATATAAAATGATACAATTAAATAACTTTAAGAACTAAATTGATAAAAAAATGAAAATGATAAATTTAATATATTAAAAAGACAAATGTGACCCTTAAACCTTTTATATAAAATAAAGATACTTGAAATGTCCGGTCTAGTAATGCAAAGGCTAAACTCCCTTGATTGCAAGTGCAACACGAGAAGAAAACTCCCGCACAAAATTTAAAGCCTCGTGACCTTCCGAGAGAGGGGGAGAAATCAACGCCGATACTTGAAATGACCGGTCTAGTAATGGTGACCAAAGGATATGTCTGTGGCGGCGGCAGCGGTGGGAAGGGAGGAGCTAAAGGAGTCAAGACCTGCGAGGAAGAGCAGCAGAACCAGATATCTGTTCTGGCGTTGCTCTTGGCTGCTTTGAGGAAATCTATGGTGTCTTGTCGCGTCGATAGACAAGACGACGTAATGCCTTCCACCACCGTTCATCATATGGAAATCGGCTGCCCAAACAACGTAAGACACGTCACCCATGTTACCTTCGATCGTTTCAATGGCTTCTGGGGCCTTCCCGTTGAGTTCCAAGTTGAAATCCCCAGTCGGGTTCCTAGTGCCAGGTTAATTCCCTTTTCTTCTACTTCTTCTTTTTTATTTTTTTGGGTCAAAGATTTCAGCGTCGTTTTGGTCTTTCTTTATTTGTTTAAAGCTGAAATGTTTGTGCTATTGTGCAGTTTAGATCTAGAAGAGTAAATGAGTACATTTTTAGCAGTTTTTAGTTAACAGAATGAAATTTCTAGCTTCATTAAATGAAGGTCTTTTAAGAATTTAAACATGCCAATTTTAAGAGATTTTTTAAAGATTTAAGCTCTGGAGAACTATAACCCAGAAAACTGGGAAGCATTTATTTTCTTCAAATTTTCCATTGCAAAGCGGTAAAAAAAATGGAACTTTAGAGTTGTAACTGGAGCTCCTTTGGCTGTAAATGTTGTTGTTATCTGAAGAAAATAACATTATGTTCTTCAATGTTTTATTTCCAAAATCTTATTGTCAAGATATTTGGATTTTTGTAAGAAATTTCCTTTGGTAATATCAATTTTTACTGTATGCGCTTTGGATTCTTTCCTTTTTGTAGAACCGATACAAATTTGTTGTTTATCGTCTTCTTTGATTTGAACTATGTGGTCCTTAATTAAATGTCTTTCCTCTTACAGTGCTAGTGTTTTTGGGGTCTCAGCGGAATCAATGCAATGTTCCTTCGGTTCCAATGGGAACAGCGTCCCCACTATACTGTTGCTGATGCAGGAGCGACTTTATTCGCAAGGAGGATTAAAGGTTTTTAATTTTGATATGTACATAATCTGGGGAGTCCGGTTATTGTACCCGATTTATCTTATTCTCCGGTGATTGGTTTTGTAGGCGGAGGGGGTTTTCCGGATAAATCCGGAGAATGACCAAGAGGAGCATGTAAGAGATCAACTGAACAAGGGCATCGTGCCCAATAATATTGATGTCCACTGTCTTGCAGGCCTTATAAAAGCTTGGTTCCGAGAGCTTCCTTCAGGGGTTCTCGATGGACTTTCCCCGGAAAAGGTTCTCAAATGCAATACTGAAGAAGAATCCGTCGACCTGGTGAAGCAGTTAAAGCCTACTGAAGATGCACTGCTCGATTGGGCTGTTGGTCTTATGGCGGATGTTGTCGAGGAAGAGGAATCGAACAAAATGAATGCGAGGAATATTGCTATGGTTTTTGCTCCGAATATGACTCGGCTATGGAGGCATTACTTTCCTCGAAATTGTAAGAATCTTATGATGTGTTAGATCCGGTAGAGATGCGTTCAACTCTGGTTTTCTATTGAGCAGATGTCTGATCCATTGACGGCTCTGATGCACGCTGTTCAAGTGATGAACTTGCTCGAGACATTGATCATCAAAACTCTAAGGAAACGCGAAGAGACGGTGTGAACACTAATTTTTCATTTTACTTAAATTATTATTATTAAAATTATTATTATTATTATTATAAATATTATTATTATATTATTATTATTATATTATTATTAAATAATTATTACAAATCCAAATAATTAGGCCCATTTTACAAGCCCAAACCCTAAACCCAATTAGGGTTTTCATTCATCTCTAGCCGCCTCATTATCACAGCCGTTGGATCTGAGAGATCCAACGGTCCACAGGAGGTCCAACAATGCAGCTAGGGTTTCTAAACCCTAGTTTTTACGTAGCCACGTCCAGCCGCCGCTCCAAAGTTCCAGTGAGTTCCAGCCGCCTTGCCGACGCTTCAGTGCCACGATGACCTCGCCAGAAGTCTCCAGAAGGCCAGCTGCTCCCCACATGTCACGGCTATGGGGGTGAGTCACCACATAGCTCGGTGACTCACCAAACTCGATCCTCTATTGTCCGGTCCGACGAGAGCCTCGGGGTGGCTATAAAAGCCACCACACCTGCAAGAAAGAAAACCACGGCGGAGAACGACAACAAACAAAAAAAAATAATAAAAAGAGGGGCAACAGAGACGAGCCAAAACCCACAACCAGCATAAAACCAAAACAGAAAACAAAGAAAGAAAGAAAAGAAAGAAATGGGAAAGCTTGGCCCTTCGGGCCAGGCGTTTAGGGTATATATACCCCTTCCCAAAACGACGTCGTTTATATATATATTTAGGGTAAATAACTAATTTAGTACCTTATAATTTTATTAACATTTATTTTAACCCGATTAATTAAATAAGGCTAAATTACATTTTTAGCACTTAGAGTTTTTATTTATTCGAGATAGAGCCTTTAAACTTTGATAAATTTTATTTTAATCACTGATTAATTAATTAAGGGTTAATTACACTATTAGTAATTTTATTTTATGATGATTCAAATTATGTTTATTAATTTAAATAATTTTACATTTATTATTATTTTATTTATTTTTAGTCATTGTTTAGTTATATTTTAACTTAATTTTTATTATTTTAATATATTTTAAATCATTACTTTAATTATTGTTTTACTATATTATAAATATATATATATTATTTATTTATTTATTTAATAATGTTTATTTATTTTCCATATTAATGAAAAGGGCAGTCTTAATACAACTGGATGTCCTATTCTGGTATTTTAAAACTAACTATTATAAAAATTATAATTGAGTTTTATTACATTTTTATTTATTAATATCGAAGAAAAGAGCTGTCTTAAGGTACCTAGAAGCACTTTTCTGATATTTCTAAATAAATAAATATCTTATTTATATATTTTAATATATTTTCTTAAAATTATAAATTTGAAATAAAAAGATTATGAATTAAATATATTTGAAATTTTTTTTCTTCTAATAATAGAGACAATTTATAGTTAATAAAGTACCAATTTTGGGCGTTGTAGGGGTGCTAATCCTTCCCTAAACGTAACCGACCACGAATCCCTTTTTATTAATAAAAAAGAATGAATTTTTGGTTAAACGCAGATCAGTTTATCTTTTAACTGATGTTTTCTTAAAAACTCTTTTAAAAGATGATTTTTAGGTATTCGACCTACCTGACCCAAAAGGCCGATGGCGACTCCCAAATTATTTTAAAAACCATTTATTCACATTACTTTTCCCGCCAAATAAAAAATTTCGTGCCCGGGCGAAAACCGGTTACGACAGCTTGGCGACTCTGCTGGGGACTGTCAAACTTTAAAATCAATTATAAATTGTCTCTATTAATTAGAAATTAAAAATTCATTTATTTAATTTTTAATTCTTTTCTTTCAAATTTTTATTATTTATTATTTTTATATTAATATTGTTTTTTTATTCAGGTATTAATTATTTTATTTATCTGTTAGAGGTTTGAATATTTCTCCTCACACACAACACTTGCATTGCATAACATAAAGCTCTCTAATTGAGTTTGTCCCTTTTAAGTGGGAGTGAAAGCGACGTCTTCATGAGAATTTATTCTCCGTGTCAGACCTAGCAAGTAACTTTCGGGGTTCATATGCTCTATGTCTTCGTGAGAATTTATTCTCCGTGTCAGGTATAGAGAAATGTGTCCCCTCGAATTGAACTCGATCCGTTTAAATCTGTAATGGATTAGGATTGATGGTTGACAGCCCAAGGGGGCATCAACAAGGACAATTCGAGTACCTTTACTCCTAGAACTGAAACTCTGCATATAATAAACCCTAGAAATTCACCTAATCTAAGACAGTACTGAACCTCTGTTCATAGGTGTACACAAAGGAGAAATAAGCTCTAGCTTTTAATTTATTTAATTTATTATTATTTTTTCTCCCTGAATAAATGCATGCGAACTAGAAATCATGCAGTTAGGTTAAATTTTCCAAACAAAGCATGGAACTAGAAAGCATGAGGTTAAGATTTATACCTTGATAGATAGATTTTTTTTCATTAGTTGGTACTAACTATTTTAATTTTTTCTCTCATGTCTTTTGTTTGCATTGCATGATCATAGCATAACCAAAAGGTGTTTACTTGAAAGACTTCATCATATTGGAAAGAAATTATAAATGGACAAAAAGTTTTATGATCAAACAAAATATGATGCGGCCAAAGAAAGACATCCTGAGAAAACTCTGAGGATAGAAGCAAGCTATGAACCCAAATATCGTATGACCATTGAAGAACAAAAGGAGATACGAGAAATAAGAGAGCAGATGACCAAGATGATGGATAGAATATCTGTGTTGGCCAAAGGAAAAGAGATTCCAGCACAGAAAGAGAGAGAGCTCAATGAACCTAACTCTGCAGTTTCAGATATGCAAGGGACTTCGATTCTTAACCAATTTGAGAAATTACAGACAGTCATCATTCGTATTCACAAATCGTCTGGAGATACCAAAGAAATGGTGACGACCGTACAAGCTCCCAGAGAAGAGAAGAAATCATGTAATCAGAAATTATCAAAGTTTGGTCTGCTCCCGATGTCTAAAACTCAGGTTCAATCCAAGACAAAAGGTGGTTCTCATCTTGATACTATCCCCATATCATATAAAGAGTTGTATGAAAAGCTACTTGAAGCACGAGAAGTGGATCCATATTATATAAAACCGTTCCAACCTCCGTATCCAAATTGGTATGACATCAACGTTCATTGTGAATATCATGCCGGAGCTCAAGGACATACCATCGAGAATTGTCTTGCCTTCAAACGACGAGTTCAAAGTCATTTAGATCATGGAACCTTACAATTTATGGTAAATGATCATCCTAGTTTGGTAACCGAGGGTCCTGATAGATTAATACCAAAAGTCTTCAAATGTAAGAATATCAGTAGGGGCGCCCAGAGAGAAGAAGATTTGCTGAGGTTTGAAGCTCAAATACGTCATTTGAAAATTGAAAACGATAAATTGAGCACCAAAATGGAAACCATACATGAAGACTTCCAGAAGGTCAGTCAAGCCTTTCAAAATGCTGGTATAGGAAACACCCCAGAAGAGTGGATAGCAGAGGTCACCAAACTGAAAAAGAGTTGCAACATACATGAAGATCTTGTCCAAAAAACTTTTTGAACACAAATGTTCTCTTACAAGGGAAAATGAGCAACTCCGAGAAGTGACACAGGAGATGAAAGAACATCAGAATATCATGGAAGAAGCTGCAGTCCAGACAAGCAATATGACACATAAGCTAATAAACTAACTTGGTTTTAGAGAAGAAAATGGGAAAGTTATTCCCTATATGTAAAGTTTTGTTGAAGTTAGGACTGAAAGTTGTCCCCTACATGTAAAAGTTTTGTTTGATGTACTGAAGCTTTTGTGTTCAATGAAATCTGTTCTAAGATGATCACTCTTAAGTAACACCTTTTCATACATGCATTTACATTTTGTATCTGTGCATTTTCATTTTGTATTTTTACTTTTTATATCTTTGAATTGCACATTTTGCATTCTTATTTTTCCATTTATGCATTTTTCACATTTTTATTTAAGTACTGTCATGTACTTTAATTATAAAAACATGTTAATAATTAATGAAAGGTTTTGTAACAGTAAAACCAAGGTCATTCATTCATATTACTTTACTGTCATCATGAAAACAATGGAGCAATCTTATAAGGGACTACAAGACCAGTGGCCAGAACAATTGACAGGGTTACCTCATGATATAAGGAAAGAAACATCAGATTCAGTACCAGATGGATCAAATCAAATTATTCATTATGTGACATCTGATAAAGAAGAGATAATTGATAAAGAGCAATCATGCTGTCAGATTGAAGAGTCGAAAATGGTAAAACCCTCCAGGGCATCCCAATTGAACCCAAAGAATAGCCTTGTTCATTATTCGCAATATGAGGAAAGATTCAAGAAGATAGATGAAGCAATCAAAAATATGAAATGTGTTGATACTTCCCACAAAGAATTAGAAGCAAGAGAGCTCAGCTTGATTCCAGATTTGATTATTCCCCATAAATTCAAAATGCCTAATTTTGAGAAATATGATGGCACCAGTTGTCCCTTAATCCATTTGAGAATGTTTTGCAGAAAAATGGAAGGATATTTGAGTTCTAATGATCTATTAATTCACTCTTTCCATGATAGTCTTGTTGGCCCAACAGTAGTCTGGTACAATCAGTTGACCCAAGAACAGATCAAGAGATGGGTAGATCTAGCTGATGCATTTTTGAGACAATATCGGTATGTTAAAGGATTAGCTCCAACACGTATGGATCTTCGAAGAGTAAAGAAGAAAACCAATGAAAGATTTCAAGAATATGCCCTAAGATGGAGAGGAGTGGCAGCACAAGTTCAACCTTCCATGTTAGAAGAAGAAATATCACGTATGTTTCGTGATTCCCTTCCAACGCCTTTCTTCGAGTTAATGTAGGAAAATCCGACAAACGAATTCGAGAATCTTGTGACAAGTGGAGATTTAATTGAGAATGTAATCAGTGAAGAAAACTCAAAAGTCACATCCAAGAGCCCGAC